ATCTCATGTCATCTGGTGCAGGAAAACAACCATCCATGGTTATGCATTATACAAACCCCACATGGTTTGCTGATTTAAACAAAGGCTAATATCTCAAAAACTTAAGAACCAGTATTTCAGAAAAAAATGTGCCCCCAAATCAAAGCACATTGCACACAGGTACTGCCTTGCAGTACCTCCATCCACACTTACTTGTATCAATGCAGAACAGGTCATTGTAAAAAACATCTCCAGCTAAACCTCCATGGATGAAGAGTTTGGTCCCAACTGCGACCACGACGTGTCCGTGCCGAGGAGAAGGGGGATCACCATGAGTCTCTGGCTGGGACCAGGTCAGGGTGGCTGAAAAATGGGAGTACATGTGCATTAGGAAAAAAAACTCTGGAAATTCTATAGACCAGCAACCCCAGAGCCCTGCCGAGGCTTCCCATCCAAGCCACCGAGTCTGAATTCCCAGTGACCACATGAACATAAGGGCTTGTCAAGAGAAGAACAGCCACCCATCCAGTGGGACTCATCTCCTAATAGAGCTCAGCACTTCCATCCCTCTGACTAAAGCCCAAGGGCAAAGCTCCCATCCCACTGCCCGCGGGAGGCACCTGTGTCAAACACGTGAAGCCGCTGGTCTTTAACCGGCTCTGCTCCCTTGTCTCCACCCCCGAACACGAACAGACGGGCTCCGATGGCCGCCGAGGACGTGTGGAATGTCCGAGGTTGTGGCTGCACCCCCTTCACTGCAGGGCTCTCCCACGTTCCTATTTCTAGTTAAGACATTTCATTAACCGAACAACCAACATGGGAACAGAACCCACGCCCATCCTGCAGCCCCGAACCCCAGCGCCGCTCCGGGCACGGATCTGGGGCACTCACCGGGGTCCAGCACCTGAACGCAGCTGCGGTTCCCCGCGGGCTGGGCACCGCCGAACACCCAGAGGCGCGGGGGACCCGTGGCGGGCAGGAACGTCGCGTGTTCGTAGCGCGGCCTCAGTCCGCGCCAGCCGGCGGGGACCCAGCGGAGCGGGGCTGTGGACGGGGACAGGAGATCGGACCTGGAACCGGTCCCGGTCGTGGTCCCGGTTCCAGCCCCGGCCCGGCCCTCACCCAGCTCCACGAAATGCGCGTCCGCGAAGGCCCCGGCGGGGTCGGCACCGCCCAGCAGCAGGACGCGGCCGGGCAGGAGGAGGCAGCCGAGTCCCACGCGGCCGCGGGGCCGCTCCCCGCGCGGGCTCAGCCGGTACCTGCGGGGCGAGGGCGGCGCTCAGCGCGGGCTGGGCCGTCCCGGGGTCCCGCCGGTCCCCCCACCCCTCTCGCCGCTGTGCCCGCCAGTGCCCCCGTCCTACTCACCACTGTCCCGGGCGCGGCCGCCGCCCCGGCTGCAGCAGCGGCAGCGCCCGCGGCGCCATCGCGGGGCCCGCTGCCCGGCCCGGCACGACCGGAAGTGCTGCCGGAAGTGCCCTGCGCTTCCGCCCGCGCCGGCGGCGCGCTCCGCCGCCCGGAAGTGGCGGGGGGGCCGCTTCTGCCCGAGCCCGTGCCAAGATGGCGCCGCTGGACCTGGACAAGTACGTGGAGATCGCGCGGCTCTGCAAGTACCTGCCCGAGAACGACCTCAAGGTGCGGCCGCGGCGACGGGGCCGGGACCGGCCGGGGCGAGCCGGGGCTGGGCGGGCAGGGCGGGTGCTGCCGGGCGGGTCGGAGCGGGCGGTGCCGGTGGTCCCAGCGCTGACCCCGACCCTGCCTCGCTCCCTCCCGCAGCGCCTCTGTGACTATGTCTGTGACCTGCTGCTGGAGGAGTCCAACGTCCAGCCCGTGTCTACGCCCGTCACCGTCTGCGGGGACATCCACGGGCAGGTAAGGCCGGGCCAGGCCACTCCCGGTGCAGCCCCGGGCCGCAGTCGGTGCCGATGCCCGGTGCCTCTCACGCCTCTCTCCCCCCGCAGTTCTATGACCTGTGCGAGCTGTTCCGGACCGGCGGGCAGGTCCCCGACACCAACTACATCTTCATGGTACGTGCGCCGGGCGCGGCCGGGCCCCGCTGGGTTTGACAGGGGCTTAGAGGTGAAATCCCGAGGGGCTCCCGAGTCCCCGGCCCCGCCGGCGCTGGGGCCGCTGGTGACTCCTGCCCGCCGGTCGTGTTGCCGGGAGCCCCGCGGGGTGAGGCAGAGCGTCCTGCCCTGCCCCGGGGTCCACGGGGTCATGTCAGGGCAGCGGCGAGGGGAGTGCCCAGCCCATACCTGACAGTCCGAGTGCCCAGAGCTCCGTGGGTCCGAGCAGATCCCGGCTGCCCTCCAGCGCTGGGTTTCTCTGTGACAGCGGGGAGTTGAGAGCAGATGTGTCATTGTGTGCTTTCTCGGGTGACTGTTGCTCCATGTACGGCTGTCTCTGCCCTCAGGGGGACTTTGTAGACCGAGGGTATTACAGCCTCGAGACGTTCACGTACCTCCTTGCACTAAAAGCCAAGTGGCCTGATCGTATCACACTGCTGCGAGGCAACCACGAGAGCAGGCAGATCACCCAGGTGTACGGGTTCTACGGTGAGTCCTGCCTTGTGACACACAGCTCTGCCTTGGGAAACCTGCTGGCAAGGCCACAGTACCCGGGGCTCTCGGGGGCTGGGTGGGACACGGGCGCCAGTGTTGTCAGTGTGGTCATTGTATTTCTGAACTGGAATGTGTTTAAGGCAGATCTTGCTGCTCTTTTCCTCTGGCTCGTGGGGTTTCTGCTTGTGTCATGATGCCACATTCAGTTGCACAGGCATAGGCAGAGCATGAGGTGCTCAGTCCCTCGTGCTGCTGGTGCTGGTCCTGGCCAGCAGCAGGACCCAGCACAGGGCTCCTGATAGGGCTTGTGTGACACACCTGAGTGTGCAGGTTCTGCTCTCACTGTTTGCTCTGCCTGTGTTGCCTGTTTTGCCGTGATCCATCAGGAATAAAACCATTGTCTCCCAACAGACGAGTGCCAAACCAAATACGGGAACGCGAACGCCTGGAGATACTGTACCAAAGTCTTTGACATGCTCACAATAGCAGCTGTAAGTGCAAACACCAGGTTAACAACACCAGCAGATTGTCTCAATGGGAGCTGCAGAGGTGGTGACCTGTGCAGGCTCCCCTGGCAGCGATGCTGAGTGTTCTGTGCACGGCTCATTCCCCTGCAGTTAATAGACGAGCAGATTCTGTGTGTGCACGGAGGCCTCTCCCCAGACATCAAGACCCTGGACCAGATCCGGACCATTGAACGTAACCAGGAAATCCCTCACAAAGGCGCCTTCTGCGACCTGGTGTGGTCGGACCCAGAGGATGTGGACACATGGGCCATCAGCCCACGTGGGGCAGGCTGGCTCTTCGGGGCTAAGGTCACCAACGAGGTAACGCTGCTGCTCAGGGCCACAAAACCCAAGGGTGGGGATGGGGGAACGAAGGGGCTCAGCTCAGTGTGGTGTTTGAGTGGACCGAGGGCACTGTGAGACAATGAACTCCCCTGTCATGCCTCTGACAGTAACTCATGGTGGTGGGGAAGATTTGCTTGTGCCAGTTGAAAAAACTGAGGCACTTGAACCTAAAAGCACAAATGTAACTGCCAAATGTACTAATACCCATCGTGGTTTTGAAAAGTGTGATGTGGTAAGACTCAGTAGTGTCCCTGGGCTCTGTGGAATGCTTTCCTAAGGATCTGGGAGAAAAATACCATTTTTAAGCAATTATTGAGTTAATTTTGTTGTGTCTGCACTGAGCAGACTCCTGAGGGCTCTACACACTGGCCTTGCCAGGCTCTGACCTGGCCACATCACACCAGCCCTGCCACTGTCATGTGGCCCTTGTACAGCATTCAGGAAGGGTCGAGCCTGGGGACAGCACAGCCCTGCTGCCTGGATTTCATGCTGTTCCTCTGGTGTTGCTACCTGTATTCACAGGGGTTTCTCATGCTCGGTCTCCAAACCCCCTGCTCTGTTCTCCCTGCTGCTGTGCAGGGCCAGGCCAGGAGCAGGACACTGTGTGGGCAGTGGGGCACACTGACCTTCCCCCTTCCCTTGCAGTTTGTTCACATCAACAACCTGAAGCTGATCTGCAGAGCACACCAGCTCGTCCACGAAGGATACAAATTCATGTTTGATGAGAAGTTGGTAACGGTATGGTCAGCTCCCAACTACTGCTACCGCTGCGGGAACATCGCATCCATCATGGTCTTTAAAGATGTAAATACAAGAGAACCAAAGTTATTCCGCGCAGTTCCAGACTCAGAGCGTGTCATTCCTCCCAGGACAACCACGCCGTACTTCCTCTGAGCCCTTGCCCGCCTGCTGTCACCTCTCCCTGTCCTGCCCCTTTTCAGTATACTTTTTATTGAGCACTTTGCTGCTGAAATGCTGCCTCTTGCCTTTTTTATTTTTAAATTATCTAAATTTATTGTGTATTATGGTGTCTGTAGCAATTTTTTTCCCCCCTCCCCTAGATTAATTTCAGAGTATTTGTAATATGTCCTTGAGATTTGTACTACTGCATGTAGTCCTTGCCTAGTCCTGGGTTAGATGAACCGATTCCTTTAACCACCACGCTCCGGGAGCCGCTCGGGCCCGTCTCTTGTTCAGCTTTTTGTTTTTGGTAAGTTTTAAGAAATTTCAGCAGCAAAGTCAGTGCCCGGTGTGCGGCGGGGCTGGGGCTGCCCGTGCTGCGTTCACGGCGCAGGACCGAGCCAGCCTTTTCCGAGTGTTACGTGGATCCCAATAAAGCGGTCGAAGGGCTGTTCCCCATTCCCGGTTTGTTCCGTTTTCCTCGGGATCCCGATGAAACCCGCGCACCTGCTGCAGCGACGGGATTTGTACATTAAAGTCATTGTTCGGATTTTTTCCAGGCTCTGTTGTGTTCTTACTGACCCCGTGTGTCTGTGTGTGAGTGACCCCCCCCTCTCCCCCCCCGCGCGGGGCGGGGCGGCCGCGCTGGTTCCGGTTCCGGTTCCGCCGGGGCCGGCGCCGTTTCCGGCTGGCGCGGGGCCGGGCGGCGGGGATGGCGCGGAGCACGCTCTCGTCCCGCTTCCGCCGCCTCGACATCGACCAGTACGACGAGAACCGCTTCGTGGAGGAGCCTGAGGAGGCGGCGGGGGCCGAGCCCGATGCCAGCCCCGAGGTGGAAGCGCTGCTCAGGCAATATCCTTTGGGCCGGGGGCCGGGGGAGTCCCGGGGGCCGGGGGAGTCCCGGGGGCCGGGGGAGTCCCGGGGGCCGGCCGCGCTCGGCCGCTCGGGGCCGCAGCCGGGCTCTCCCGTAGCCGCCCCTGAGTGCGGTGCGGTTCCACGCGCGTCCCGCGCAGCGCAGGTCGCGGTTTGAGTCCTTGACCCGCCGCCGCACAGGCGAGGCGCTCCGGGCCTTCCACACCGCCATCCGCAGCTCCCCGGGCAGCAGCAGGAGCCAGGCCATGAAGGTACCGGGCCGGGGGCCGGGCACGGCGGTGCTGGGGATGCTCGAAGTGACGGTGACACCGCACAGATCCGAGCGGCACCGCTGCGGTTAATGAGCTTGTGCTGGCACGGGTGGTCCCCGTGTGTTTACCCCTTCCTCCTTTAACCCCAAAACTGCTCAGCTCGCTTACAGAAATAGCCCAGCCTGGAGCGTGGCCGTCTCTTGCCAAACACGAGTCTTGGGATTGTTCTCAGCTGTTGTCGTTCTCACATTTCTCTCTTTGCTTTGTCTTCCCAGGAGCAGGCCCAGGGAACGATGCTTAAAGTCCTCACATCTTTTAAAAGCAGTGAAATAGAACAAGCGGTGAATTCCTTAGACAGAAACGGTGTTGATTTGTTAATGAAGTACATTTATAAAGGATTTGAAAAGCCAACAGAAAACAGCAGTGCAATATTACTTCAGTGGCATGAAAAGGTACGTGTTGGGGGCACTCTTGGTTCAGTAGGGTCCTGGTCAATGGTTTTGAGAGCCCCTGAAGAGAAGCAGCTGATGGCAGGGCCTCATCCCTGAGGAGTTCAGTGTTTCCTTTTATCTTTGGTCTCCCTGAGCCTGCATTCACAGAGCCTTTGCCTGTATTTCAAACCTTACCCTCGGCCATGGGGAGAGGAAACTTATGGCAGGGAGTTGTCCCTGCTGGAGAAAGCCTCGTGCTGCCTTTGGCACCCAAAGCGTGCAGGAGGAGAAGGGGTGGGAGTGGAGGGACGGGGCAGCTGCAGCTCCTCTGTGGCCGAGCTGAGGGGGCTCAGGCTGCCTCAGGTCTGGCACTTTGCATCAGCTGACTCACAGGGTTTAGCAAACCGGTTTGGTTTGCCCAGGAGAGGATTCTGAGGTCTCCAAAGATTCCACTGGGGACCAGCAGGGGCCTCTTGTGTTTCTGTGGAATGTCAGTTGTGAAACAGGGAATGTGGGATGTGTTCAGCAGCTGACTGTGGAACCTCCTTCCCTGTCTGTGATGGGATGAGGCACGTTCTGGGTTGAGGCACCCTGAAGCAGCTGCCCCCGGGCAGGAATCCAAGTGAGATCTTCCCCCATTGCAGGGGTTTTAGCTGAAGCCCTGGCTGTCAGTGCTCCTAGGAAAACTGATCCCCGGGAATGCTGCAGCTCCCTGTGCAGGGCAGCTGCTGCGAGTGCTGGTGTCGTTTTCCCGAGGTGCTGAGTTTTTTCCTGTGGTACATAAAGCTGATGTAGCCTTACTCCAGCTCTTGGCTGCTGTCACCAGCTTTGGCAAGCCTTGACAAGGGTGGAGGGAATTCCTCAGGACAGCAAAGAACATGTTTCTGCTTGGGGTTTTTTTGTCTTTTTTTCCTGTTGTTTCCACTGTGGTGCTTTCAGGTAAGCGTGGGTGGTGCTCCCAGCGTGGGAGGTGACACACCACCACCCTGACTGGTACTCAGAGCGTGTAGGGACATGAAAGGCATCTCATCCTCTCTGTTGTGAAAGGAACAAGGCAGGTCTGAGGAGGCTGGGCAGGGTGTAAAGCCTGATGTTCTGCTTTGCTGCAGTACTGGTAGGATGTGTGGCTTGCTCAGAGCGGAGTCAGCTCAGTGGCAGTACCAGTCTGTTCTCTGGAAAAGGCTGTGGCAGGTCTGGTAGCTCAGGAACATTTACCTGCCTGAAGCACCTGCAAGTCCTGCTCCAGGTGGGTGTTTGCATTTGTCCAGTCATGTTCCCCAGCGCCATGTCTTGCACTGCTCTCATACCTGTGCTCTGTTGGACTGTGGCTGCAAAGTAAATGCCCCATTTTCAGCAGTCAGCTTAAATATTTATTTTTTCATAATCACTTCCATCTTCTAGACTTCAGAAGGAAACACTGTTCACATTGAGGGACACAAATGAAACTGGAGTGAGCCCTTCCTCCTCCTCTTCTCCTCGGGGATACAGGAGGTGTGACATTCTGCTCTGTCAGTGACATGCAACACTGGAGCCCTCAAGATCCAAAAGATTGTGGAGAATGCCAGTTTTTAGTTTTGGAGTAGAGTCCCTTCTGTGGCTAAACTCTTCAGTGTTTGTTCTGTGTGGGATGTGGTGACTCTGTAACCTCTCTCCTTTCCCACAGGCACTGGCAGTAGGAGGCCTGGGCTCCATAATAAGAGTTCTCACAGCAAGAAAGACTGTGTAAAGACTGTTAACTTGGACAGAGGTGACGGTCAGGTTTGGACTCAGAAGAAGGAATGAGCTGAAAGTACACTGGTCCATCTTTATTAGAGATTGCAATCTACTGAAATCCTACAGTAACCTCCTCTTGGAATGCTTTTATCCTTAAATGTGGGGAAGAGTAAAGGTATTCCTGCATATTCCGACTATCACATACAGGAGCCAAGACATTCTCCTGCTCCCCTCTTTAACAGGCAGAGAGAAGGCACACTCCTGCCTCTTATTACTGTAAGTGAACAGGTATTTCAGATGCTGCTTTAGCCAGGTGTGGTGATACAAGCTCCTGTGTGTCCTGCTTAGTCCCAAGGTAGCTGTGTCCAGGCCGAGATGCTGCAGCTGAGGGTGGGAGAAGGGCTGTTAGAAGGGTGGCTTTGAACATGTGGTGAAGGACTTGGACTCTGGGCTTGGGTTAATGTAAAGTGAAGTGCCTGCTGCATCAATAAAGTTCTTGGATCACGTGAGTTAAATTTAAAGTCTGATACTTACTCCAAAGCAGACCTGCAATAACCCAGTCCAACCCAGTGTCCACCTTTGTAGGACTGCTCCTAACTCCAGCTACTTTGACAATTTGTCCTCAAGTCCAACGCTCATCTGGAGGGAGTGAGACCAAGCTCAGCTGTTCCAAGATGCAGTAAATAGAACAGATGATCACCCCAAATTTGATTTTTATATTCTTTTCCACACTAGAAAGTTGAGAAGATAGTTCAGAATTTGTGATTTATGTGTTAGTGTGTCCTCTGCACCAGACAGACGCGTGCTTTGCCCAGGCAGGACACGACTCCTGGATCCATGGCTGTCCCCATGTCCCTCTGGCTCAGGCAGGGCTCCCTGCCCTTTGGCACCGAGGAGCAGCTGCTTGGGGAGCCCCAGCTCCACCCAGTCCTCACTTCCATCAGCTGCTCAAAGTGCAGTAGCAGCTGTTCCTGGTGAGAGGTGATTTTGGAAGCAGCAGTGCCAGCTCATTGTGGCACAACTCCCTGTGAGTGGCCTTGGCACACCCATCTTTACCCTGGGCAAAGGTGGGGTTTGGGTCATGCTTTAAAAGTCAATTTTAAATAGCTATAGCATCCCAGGGGAGATAACCAGAACTATAAAAAGAAAGAAATCAAGATTAGGGGTTTGATCCAAAATGTATTGCACCACAAATTTCATAGTGTTTCATCATACAATCCATATTTACAGCATAGAAGGAAAGAAATCCAATGGTGATAGAAAGGATTATGTATAACCACTGTTCTGAGACAAGGGAAAGTGCATTAGCTTTTTAATACATGTATACACACCAGTCTTGCTCTGATACCTAATGAAAATTCAACACTTAAGAACTAGTTTATGGTAAGTTGATCCTGTATGAGCTTTGGGATCTGAAACTGAAGTTGTTAGTGAATATATAACCTAAGATTTTACTTTGTCACTCCATTCCAGGCTGCCTGTCCTGCTTTCCTTACTGTTCAGCAGTAACCTTTGAAGCCAGGATCAGCATAAACCCAGTAGTCATTCAGCAGAGAGGAGTGGGAGTGAGGAAGTCTTGACCCCTGGTCCCACAGAAACAGGGCAGGGCAAAGGAGTGTTAGAAAGGAAAAGATCTCAGATAATAAAATCTTCCCAGAACCAACAGGGTTATTCCACCCTGCTGTATTTCAATAGAAACAATTGAAATAAATGTACTTTTTGATTGTCTATCTTCACAGTAGAGCAGGGCTGAACCCTTCCATGCTCTATCCTGTCTGGAAGTGCCATGAATCTGGTTACTAAAGACTGTTTGGACAAGATTTAGTGTATCAAAAAAAATCTGTTGGTTTTCTTAACTTCAGACAAATCCAACCTGGCTCTAAGCTGAGCAGCATCACCTGTGCCCAGTAGCAGCTCCTGGGAGTACCTGTGTCTGGGGTGGGGCTGAGACCAGCAGGGTCTGGAGCCTCTGGATCTCCACTGGAGAAAGCTTGAATTATCCTGAATATATTTAACAGAAGTATGAACTTCCTTGTAAGAGAATTCTCAGAACTGCAGCATGCTGACTGAATTCCATACACATGAAGATTTTTGGAAATAAGTCTCAGTTTTCAGAAGTCAGACTTAATGCTGCTTCCCATTTGGACCCAGATTTTGCAGTAGTGTTAATAACTGGGCAGAATTGTGCTTCCAAGGAGAAGTGCCACCTTGGTCCCCTTTCCTTATTGTATAAGGAAAACAAGCTGCTGGAACCACGATTTGTTCACTAAGAGTTGAATTTTGCCCTCAAACCCCTCATGAGCAGCATTTCTTTTACCATAATAGTCAGGGATAACATAACAGTTTTTAAGCATCAGTATTTGAAGTACAGAAAACCACAACCAAAGAGGCAGATCCTGGTTATAAGAATTTGTTGCTAGCAGACTTGGAAGAAAAAAAAAAAAAGAATCAAAGTGTTTAGTACCAGCATTCTTCACCCTTTGTCACTAGATTTTTATTTTTCTTTTTTTTTTTAAATAAAAGGTATTTTTCAGTGTGGATTTACAATACCTGGAACTCAGCTTTAAAAATTTAAAATTGTTTCCTACCCCTTTTCCCACTGCTAACAACCTATGGAACAGGCTAATGGATTAGTTTTAAAGGCGACTGAGGATTAGGTACTATAATTAAGACCATTTTAAATATTATTTTTCTTTAAGAAAAATAAAATCAGACAACTCTAAAGTTGTGCTCTCAAATTAAATAATCATCAACATGCAGCCTTGAGGACTGCAGGCCAGGATAAATGCACCTTAAATTACACAGTGATATGAAAAAATGCCAACCATTAGTTATGTCAGTATTAGAAGGCAAGGCAGAGTTCTTTTTTGGTTAAAGCTCCTGCTCCTGTCCTGTGAAAGGCTTTGCAAACCATCCCCCTCTCAACACTGTTCTGCCAACACATTTTTCATTGCTGGCTTCCCACAGCCAGACAAGCAGCTTTTCTGTGCCCAGAGTCACTGGACTCCAGCACCCTGGAACAGCAGCTGGAATGACCATCCCAAGAGACTGAACTGGCAGCCCTGCTGTCAGCGAGGTCCTCAGAGCCCTCTGGTGCCAGGAACCCAGGAGGGATGAGCACAAGGAGCTGCTCCCATCACAGACACCGAGATGGTCCCTGACTCCAGCCCAGAGCTGTTCCAGTCTGTAGTGAAAATGTCTCCTTGCACAGTATTAGTTTTGTAAACAGAGCCAGAAGTTCTTGTACAAAATACTGCAATGACAGTGATTAAGACACACCTGGAGCAGTGTGTTCAGCATTCTTTTCACAGAAAGAAGTGCCTGGATACTGCCTGCCACCTTCAGGTTCCCTTAAGGCCACAGAGTCCTTGGGCTCGAGATGGATGGCCGGATGCTGCCTTTGGGAGATGGCTTTGAGCCAAACCAGGACATCTAGGGCACAACAGCACAACACACATCACACAGGGTTTGCACTCTTAAGATGTGAAAAAGAAAGAATATGGTACACAGCCATGTTCTCATCATCTGATGGAAAGGCCTATTTATACATCAGAATGCTGCAGACTCCAGACTGGAGAAGTGGAGGCAGCTTCACACAATCAAATCTGGAAGGAACAGCACCCACTTCCCACAGGTGAAAATGACTGAGGATTATACTTACATATATTCCTTTAAAATAATTTCAAATTAGAACTCTACAGTCATTTAAACACGGTGCCTTTAGTCAGTGTAGCATTACAATGTTCCCTGAACCAGATGGTGAGGAAATCTTCATCTGCAGACTGAACATCCCAACTCCCTGGGTGGGCAGGGATGATGCAGGACTGGAGCTGAGGCAGCACTCACTGTTGAACATTCCCTAACCACCACACAGCCAAGGCCATGGAAAGGAGATCTTGGTGTCTGAGCCCAATGTCAAAATGACAAACCCAGAATTAGGCTCCTGCTGTTAAACACTGACTGTGTTTGGGCAAGGAGCTTCCAGCTTCTCCCCACAGATCAAGTCCACTGGGCAAAGCTGTGCTCTAACTCTTCTGAGCACCAGAAAGCTGCTGTTTCCCTCACTGAAATGGACAATTCCTGGCATGCATGCATGTGATCAGCTAGCATTTTAATAATAAATTGCATTTATTATTGTAGCTAACATTTGGAAAAAAGACACTTTTCCTAATCTCTCAGCATCTAAGAATTTTCATTGTCTCCTGGGAATCCCACTAGAGACTACACATGGCACAGAACCCTTACCTTGTACTCCAGAGTTTCTTTGAGCATGTTTTCTTCCTCTTGTGAAAAATTCAGTAACACAGACACAGCTTTAATGAGATGGAATGCCTGAAAGAAACCACAGAGTTGTGTTGCTCAGGATGCTCTTGGGCTCTACACTCAGGACTATGGTGCAGCACAGAGGTCTGTAGGTCTGTCACAGACTTCAGCAGACCTGCAGCCTCCCATTATTCCCAGTTTCAGTGGACTAGGATGGCCTGTATCTTACTTCTGTGTTTCCTGGCTTTCTGTTCTTCAACAATTGTTTTGGAGAAAGAAGACAAGTGGGAGCCTGGTTATTCAGAGTAGAGAAGCAGCCTGGCCCTGCTTTGAAAAGTGGTTTAAACCAGCATGATACCATGAAATTGTACAGTTATTTTTTTACCTTATCCACTGACTTGCAATTAAGTGCTTTGTTAGAATGACTTTTTAACTTTAACACAACATGTGAAGAACAGGAAGGAACTCCAAATGCACAAGGAATTACCTCTGGCAAACCAATAGCTAGTGATTTAGTAGTTTATTTGGTTTTTTCCTCTTTCTTAAATGTACAGCCATTCTAATTTCATACTCCATATGCTTTCAGAGCAGTGCAGTGGGAATCTCTTGTAGATGCAGATCTCTAACACCCAGATGTAACTACCTCCTAAAAACATGTAGTTCATAGTAGTCTGTACTTCCAAACACGTTGCTGTCAGCTATTGTTTTTTATTACCCCGACTGTACACTTTTTAATTGTAAAATTATGGAATTGGCATAAAGTGTCCTTAGGAAGTGACAGGTGGCAATTTCTAGAGAAAGACAGATGTAGACAGAGAAGGTAAGTGGCATCTTTACCTCAGATTCCCTGCAGGACATGAACTTTAGTACAACGTGTTTAAGGTACTCAAAGTTTATCTCCCTCGAGTCGTTCAAGTCAGAGTTGTTGGTGACAGTCACAGAAGCATTAGGCACTTCAGAATTTGCACGTAGCTCAGGTACCTCACTGTCAGGCCTTATTTTCTACAAAAAAAAACACAGAAGAAAAAGAGAAGTACATTGCAGATGCTGTTAGCTTGACACTGGGAGGGGTCTGGGTTTAGGATATCTACAGAGGGTTGTACCCACAGGTGGGAACGCACTGGGATTAAACAGCTCCTCATCCTTCATTGGGTCACAGCAGGGAAGTGTCTCCAGCCCTCCCTACACTCCAGGACAGGAGCTGGTTGATGTCAGTGTTCTGTGTACATTACCCAAACCAGCATGGAACTGG